AGGGACTTTATGAATATTGATTATTTTAATAACTATGGAAATGATTTCAGAATCTAATTCCACAGGATATACTCTCATCTAAAACCTCCAGTGTTTATTTCTTAATGTAATCAAGATGGAGTCCAAGAGTAAAAATTATAGTGCTCCCCTTCATGGGGAAAGACTAGTGCCCCAGGCATGGAATTGATGAGTCCTTATATTTCTTCCAGGCCATTATCTTTCTTTCCCGGTGTAACTCAAATAGCAAATAACACACCTTGTATTTGCCTTAGTTTAATTCTAATAAACATTCTGTGAGGAAGGTAAGGCAGGCACTAACATTACTTGGCAGATCTGGGATCTGCTACTGAGTCTCAGAGCAGGAACCAAACTCAGAAATTCTGATTCTTAGTGAACTGTGCTTATCTGATATACCCAAAGGTGAGTGGGAATTTTAAACGTTTAGCTTGCGAATTGCGTGTATTTGCTGCAGTACACATCTGCTCAAGGAGATTGTGGCCTTTTACATACAGAGTAGAAGCAAAGGTTTATAGAGGACGGTTAGAATCTGGCCCACTCAATCCTTGTGCTTAATCTTTTGGTCCATTTTTAAAGATTCCTTTTGTTTTTATGTACTACACACTTCTTCTATATAAAACAGGAAAGAAATAGCTTGGCTAAAATAGCATGTAATTGAAATAATTTTTTGAAGTTTAAAGTCCTAATGGCCACATATCCCAAATTAGCTGGCTTAGCATGCCTTACACATTTTAATAAGCAATGCAAAGATGTTTCTAGCATCTGAAATTCAATCACTTCATTGCCAGTGAGTCCGATGGACTTTTTCATATATGTACTGAAATGTGTATAACAAGATGATTTGTTGACGTAAGGCTTACCCTCAAAGTTTAGTTGGAAATAACAACGGACTTTTAAGAAGGGCTTATGATAGAATCAGAATAGGACCACACCAATCCCAAAATGGCTAGTGATGCTACTTACGAGTATATATGTTCAGCTTTATAAGGTAACATCGCATTTTACATTCGCGCCACTTCCTGACCTTCACTAGGGGCTAATTTTTAACAATCTAATGAATGCAAAAGGATAGTTCATGATTTTAATTGAAATTTCCCTAATTCCTAATGAGTCTGATCATGTCTTCATCTGTGTTTGGGGGGAACTGTGTTTCTTCCTCTTTGAAACGCCTGTGTCTTTTCCTAATAGGTAGCCTGTCCTTTTCTTACTGACTTGGGAGTTCTTTATTTAATCTGGATATGACTCCTCTGTAGNTTCAACATTAAAATTAGATGTCGCATGTACTGTGGCAGCACTTTCCTTTAAAAATGGATATACTGTGAAAAATGAATCATTCTTGAAAGCATATTCATCACATGAATGAAACAGTTATGGAAGTTTTCACAGTTCAAATGAGCTAAGAGAAGTAAAAACATGAATGATATCTTTAGACAAAGCAGTAAGATGTTTATCTGAATGCTTTACATCATTTTTTTCTTCATATTCATTCCTTTATTTAATCAAGCACTTGTCATTTTCTAAGTTCCTAGCAATATAACAGACCACATTTTTTCCATTTAAAAAATTTTTTATATTAAAAAGGTAATACATGCTAGTAGAATAAAACCTAACAATACAGAATAACATGTGAAAAACCTCCTCTCTCATCCTACTCCCTTAGAAGTAACATTAAGGTGATGTGTGTCCTTCCAGATTTTAAATGCTGTATGTCTACATATTACAAATAACTACACGTATAAACACAGATTGTTTCTGCAGAATTATACTCTGATAATAGCTAAAACTTGTTGAGTGGACCAGATACTCTCCTGAACACTTTCTGTGTATTAATCCAACAACAGCCTTGATCTTCATTTTACAGAAAAGAAAACTGAGGCACAAAGAAATTAAGTCACTTGCCCAAGGTTAAACTATTACCATATGGTTGCAGTGCACCTTGCTATTTCAATAACAATTTATCATGAACATTCTCCCTAATCAATTCATGCCTCATTCTTTAAAAGACTGCACAGTATTCCACTGTATGGAGAGACCAGACTTTAATTAAACAGTCTCCCACCAGTACTCAGTTAGGTAATTTCTCAGTACTGTGATGAATACCTTTACACACATAGCTTCATGTATCTTTGCTGAAGGAGTCTTGCAAATAGAAAGCTGGGTCATGGAGAATGTGAATTTTTAAAAAAATGATTTTACTGCCAAAATGTTCTTCATTATCTATGAAACCACACTGAACAGAGGGAAGCAACTAAGTGTACAGCAAAGCAGATGTTACAGTTCCTTTCTTCCCTTGGTTTATAACTTAGGCAGATATCTAAAATTGGAAACAATGACAAAGAAATACACAAATCTGTAACAAGTTAATGTAGTGAGTGCTATATATATATAAACACAGAGGAATTACAAATTAGAAGAGGGACCATGTTGCAATTACTGAAAAAAGGTTTTTAATAGGTGCTACTATTGATTTTACTAATTACTAGAGGCAAGTTACTATGTTAAGCACCTTATATATTGTATCATTTATTCCCACACGGACCATAAAGTATGTAATCTTATCACAGCTATTGTACAGATGAGAAAAACCACTGAGATTTATACTAATACATTATCTCCAAAGATATGCTTTTATCCCCTTTGCTAAACTGTATTATCTAACATTAAAGAATTTTACTGAGTATAAACTGTTGTACAATGCTTTTTCATATGCTTCAACTAATTAAGTCACCTTATCTTGATTCTTCCCTTGATAAATTTATTTTTCTTACATATTTGGAATCTCTACTTTTTATTTTAAGCTCTGAAAGATCAGAGGTAATACATACTTTATAAAACCATTCCTATTGAACAAAGCATGCTGTCGTATATTAAATAGGAATGAAACAAGTCTAGGCTAATCATTATTTCTTCCTATTGCTACCAGTTAACAATCTGTTATACTCATTCATTCAACAAACATTTTTTAAAAACTTATTATGCCTATGGTACTTATGGACAATTGTTGTATATGCAAAAGTTTTGTCCCCCTCCATTTCATCACTTTAAACAGATATGGCATTATATTTGCATTTTTACCTTTTTCATTTCGTCCTCAAATGCCTTTTCCAAATACTTATATCTCCTGATGAGTTTATTGAAGACCTAAGCGTAAAAGAAAATCATTCAATAGTCATAATATTTTAAAACGCAATGGAAGGTGTAGAAAC